AACCACCTTGAAAGCCAGGCCTGTTTCCCCACTGGGACTCAGAGAGGTTAGGTCTCTTGTCCAAGGTCGCACAGCTAGTAAGGAGTAATGATTGAAGCAGGGGCAGCTCTGTTCTTCCTATTCGGTTTCCTGCTCAGATTGCATTTAAGACACAGCAACAGAAGCAAAGAATTTGAGAGATGGAGGGGCAGGTGCTGGAGAAGTCCAGCTCACCCATGGCCAAAGCCACCAGCTGCAGGGCTTCCCACGCTCACTGCAGCGGTGCCTGTAGTGTTTCCCTCCACAGCCAGAAAGTAAGCAGAGTGGGGCTCCAGACCCAGGGTCCAAAGCCACGTGAGCCCACGAGCCAACACAAGCACAGGCTGCCCAGCCTCCACTCCGCCCCCCACCCCGTCTTCACACCCTTTGTCCCACTTCACTCCTTTATCACCCACTCCAGGTCATTTTGAAGGACAAATTCCCACAGGAAGGGACTGCTTAGTAGGAGCTCCAGGAAGTCAGCTCCATCCAGTTTGCCCCCCTCACCTCTCCTGCAAAATCCAGGCGGCTTCCTCACCTCACCTGATCTTGAGACAGCTGTTCCACGCTAGATAGCACATACTTGTCTTACAACTTTCAAGCGATACAGATTCCAGCCTCCTTTAAGGCAGAGTAGTTTCTTTGTCCCTGAGGGAAGCCTAGAAACCTGCCCTTGGGACAAAAAGTCACACCCAAGACACAGGTCCTGCTAAAGTTCTTTGATGGGTTTGGGTTGCTGGTGGGATCAGAACCTTCTAAAACCAACCAGCAACTAGGCTTACTGGAGGGGCCCGGCCAGTTAAAACCACCCTGGGGACTACGCAGTGTGTAAAAGACAGGCGGGATTTAAAGCAGGAAGTGGCGGCGCTACTCAGTTCTACCCTCTCCCTGACGCCGAGGGCCCGTGGGAAACTGGAAAGACAGACAGCTCCCACAGTAAGCCCCTGGCCTGGGATACCAGCGGTTCGCCCGGGGTGCTGCTGTGAGGTGGGTGTGGCCAAGCTGACTTCTACTCAGCACGTGGGGACGTGCTCTTCCGCGTCCTCCTGTCCTTGTGCAGAAGGCACAACCGATACACAGTGCCTGTGCTCAAGGACGTCACTACAGGCACAAGAACCAGTTCGGAACTACACACTGAGATACTGGGGAAGGGATAACGGGGAGGGGAGGTGGTGAGAGGGGCTCTGTCTTGGTCAGTCCCGGCGCTATAACAAAGTACCGCAGGCCAGGTGGCTTATAACCGACGTATTTATTTCCCACAATTCTGGAGGCTGAAAGCCAGATCAGGGTGCCAGTGTGGCCGGGTCCTGGTGAGAGCTCTCTTCTGGGCTGCAGAGCAGAAGGAGCAGAGGGGTTCCCAGGGGCTCTCCATTATTAGGGCACTAATCCCATTCACAAGGGCTCCACCCTCCTGCCCTAATCACCCCCCCACATCCCCACCTCAATACCATCCCCTTGGGGACTGGATTTTTACACATGAATTTCAATCAGGGAAACATTTAGTCCTCAGCACATTGTCTGCAGTGCTGATATTTTAAATGGACAGAGTTGACACAATGAGTGAGTTTACAAAATCATCGGATGGGCTGAAAACAATGGGCCAAAGATCCAAGAATGGCTGACTTCCCAACAAGGACCCAGACCAGGAAGGTGGGGAATCAGGCCACCAGCGGGAATGCCGAGTTCAAGGGTGTGCAGCACAGTGGTGCCCCGGGCATAAGAAAACAGTGCGGCTGGTGCTGCAGACTGCCTCTGGCATTCAGAAAGTGGAGGCATGGATAAGCAATGCACTGGTGTCTCTCCGATCTCGCCAGACAACAAAGTCCTGGGAAGCCTTGCATGGAGAGATGCTTCATATGAGAAACAGGCTGAAAGTGACTCCTCTCCACAGCCGCTGTCTTTCCAATTCCCAAAGCAAAACGGCCCTCGGAGTCGGGGAGAGGGGGAACTAGCTAGCATCACCGCTCCCTGCCTTAACCCTGGCCCGTCATTTACACACTGAGTACACCTGCATGCACCACAGCTTTAACACTTTACTTCGGCCTTCCAAAATTGGGCGTCTGATTGAAGGAACTCGATTTTCACCCCAAACCCCAGCTACCAGGGCGTCTGGGAAACAGTTTTTGTCATCCTGGTCTCTGCAGTCCCAGAAGCAGTGCCCAGCACACCCCGTTCCCAGGACCAAGGCAGGCAGGAGAGAGGAGAACTTCCCACAGACCTGACACTGCTGGTCCAGGGACTGATGGGGAGGAGGAAAGAAAGCGGCAGCACGATGATGAGGGGAGGGCCAGGTTCAGCTCCCGCAGAGCTCAGAGGCCTCCTTTCCCAGGCCTGGGGCGGTGGGAGCTTTTCTGTAGAAGAGCAATGATCCAGGGGGAGAAAAATCAATGAAAGCCCACTGACTGAAAAAAAATAACCTGGGCTAGAATTTTTCTAGGGGGGGAAGCTCCAAACCATAACTCATCTACTGCTCTATTAGTAACACATAAAGCCACAGCTGATAGATAGAACCAGTGTGAAGTGTTAACTATACAAAAGAGAGAGGAGCCCAGTGAAGTAGGGGAGGGAAGACATCTGGGCACAAGAAAAGGGAAAAGGACAAACACGGAGAGGAAAGCGCAAGGAGGGAAGAAGCCTGTGAGACAAGATGCAAAAAGGAGAGGACAAGGAGGAGGGAGGGCTGGGGCAGAGAGACAGGGAAACTGGGCAACGCAGCCCAGCAGAGGCAGCGAGGGGCACAAGTGATGGGGGCAGGGGACCGTGTTCTCCCTACACAAGAGCTCTATTCAGCCCACCGTAAATATCAAGGATGTGCCACGCTTCTGGCTTCTGGAAGCAGCCTCCAACTCTTCTGCCCCAGTTGCTGATGTAATCCACAACCAGGGCAAAGAGACTCGATTCACTTTTCAACCCACTTCCTAGTGACCCAGATGTGCGCTGCCTGGCTCCTTCTAGCTTCAGAGCCTCTTATTTCACGCACTAGCTCAGAGTTCAACAGGTAAGTTTGTTTCTAATTCTTTAGGCTCTCCCTGGCCTAAGGTAACCATTACTAACTAATGAGTGGTATCCTCCCATTCCTTTCTTCAAGCTCACATAGCAGAAAGATACCTACAGAGAGAGACAGAAAGACAGAGAAAGGAGGGAAGGCGGGGGAAGGAGGGAGAGGGAGGGAGGGAGAGAGAGGGGGGAAAGGGGGAGGAGGAGGAGAGAGAGAGAAGAGAGAGAGGAGGAGGAGGAGGAGGGAGCGGAATGGAGGGAGGGAGGAGGGGGAGGTTTCAACATACACATACAAGCACAATTCCAAGCCTGAAGCTACCTGTAACATAAACACCACGCTTACTGGGGACCACAGTTGCTCAAAGAGGGAGGACTTATGTTGGGCTGGAATGCTGAGGAGGTGGCCTCGGATGTGGAAGTTGAAGGGTCCAGCGTCTACAGGCGGAGCTTGGGGAGGAAGACCTTCCAGAGGGAAGGCAAGGCAGGGAGGGACAAGGCACATCTGAACAAAGTCAAGGTAGAACACCTGGCAGGACTGCAAGGGGGAGGGACACCTTGCAGGATCAGAGCTCACGGGTGATGGCGATCCAGGAGGCTGAGAGCAGGAAAGGCACTTTCCCTCCAACCTACCACCTGATCGCCTCATCTGGGTGCCTCAGGGGGCTGGTCTAAACCAGTTCTGGGGTCTCTGGACTCAACTCTACAACTCCCACCAAGCCAGTGAATTCTAACACCACTTCCTCCACCTGAAAAGAGAGGTTCCATGAAGAGCATCTGGTACCCAGTGGCATGTTTCTGCTGAACTCTGGGTGCCCAGCAGGGTGGCTGCCATGTGGGAGCACTTGATCGTCAGCGAACTGAGCTCACTGCTTTCTGGATAGTTCGCTGGGGGAAACAGATGATGTCACCACAACCTAGTGAGTACATTAAAGGGATACCCGGGGTTGTGGGGACACAGTGACTGACTCCCCAGGGCAGCTTCAGAGATGTGGAGGCCAAAGTGTTCTAGGGAGATTTTCGGGGATAAGAAGTCATGCATGCTAGGCATGCGCTCTACCATTGAGCTCTACTCTCAGGAAATGGGAAATGGGGACAGGAATGGAGTTTCAATCTTACAAGATGAAAATTCTAGTTCTGGGGATGGATAGTGGTGATGTATGCACAACAACTTGAGTGTACTTAATACCAATGAATGGCACACTTACAAATGGTTAAAATGGCAAGCTTTGTCTTTTACAATTAGAAAACTGAAAAATAAGGGGGAGGAGGATACAGCTCAGTGTAGAGCGTGTGCTTAGCATGCACAAGGTCCTGGGTTCAATCCCCAGTATCTCCATTAAAAAAAAAAATGAAAAAGGAAAATACGTATGTAATAATGGCACACAAATATAAAGTCAAAAAAGAAACCAACTGCCCCAAATCCTAGTTCCCAGAAGCAAATGACATTGTTTTGACATATTAATGTTCCAATTTTTCTATACTTTTTCCCAAAAACGTAGGATTATAACTTATACACAAGGTGCTATATTTTTGCTTATGATTTTATCATAGCATTTTTCATATCAAAAACATTTTCAAAATTAAAAACCATTACATACAAAATTATAGGTTTTATAACATTCCATATGGGTGGACAGTGAAATTACCAAGAGCAAACACTTTAGACATGCAGAAGACTAACCTTCTTTGATGTTCCATTCCCTCCATCCCACTCCCCATCCTCTTGTCCCCCCCTCACCCCTGCCCTGGGGAAACCACTTACAGTCTCACCTGTGGCAATGTCGTGAGAATGGGCCCCTGCAAGTTACTGGCACTCCAGGACGAGGGTTTACATGAGGCCAGTGGTAGCAGCGGGTTCACGGCTCCACAGGGCCTGACCACTGACTCTGCAATTCTCTTAGCCTTTTCCTCACAGTTGTTAGATAATGCCACAGTCCTAGCCATCACACCAGTTCTGGGGCAGGCATGAAGATAAGTCTCTCTAAGAACACACATTTTCCTTGACATTTCATCGGCCAGAACCGGGTCACAGTCTCATCTCCTTCTCAGATTAAATACTGGCTAAAGGAAATAAAGCTGCCTGGGCTGTTTAGCCAATCGTGATGTATCCCCCAAGCTTAGGGAGCTCCATCCCCTCCCCAAGGATGCTATCTGAAGGAAAACGTGGGGCTCTGTTAAGGAGGGAGTGCTGGGTGCTGGGTGCTGGGAGGAGTGGTCGCTGGCCAGGCAACAGTGCATGCCCTAGGGACCCAATATGTTCTGCTAAACAAATCCGCACGCATGCATCTGTGTGACATACAGTAACATCCTCAGCCACTCCTGGAGGTGGTTTCTAGACTGTATTCATGATGCCTAACACCAGCTTATGCAAATACAGGCCGTGTGAGAGTGAGCTGCTAACAGCGAGCTGGCAGGATGACCTGCTGGATGACAGTCAAGATGGCTCCCAGCTCCACAGGTTCCTATGACAGATGCAGCCAATCAGATGAAGGTTTATGTCTGGTAGGTAACGTGTAAGTTACTAAATTAGGATCCTAAAAAAAAACAGTTGAATATAGGATGGGAAATGCGATTTAAAAGCTCCATACGTGTGAAAGCAAGCAGTGGCTGGTCTGAGACTGAAAGGGATGAGTTCTAATGGGTCCTGACATCGTGGAGTCACCACTGAACATGGCTACACCCGCTTCAGGTTGAAGCCAGAAATGGATTGGTTCTAGTCTAGTCTCTTGTCGAGTAGGCTTTGCATCTAGAATTCACCAGTTTTGGGGGGGTGGGGGAAAGGGAAGGGAGATGAGCAGAGAGTCCAAGAGAAATTGCCACTTACTGGCTGGAAGAGAAATGTGAGCAGATCTATAAAGCACCTCTCTCTGCTGTTACCCAAACAGCATTGTTACCGGCTAACTATTGGGTTAATACAGGAATCAATAAGGCATTTATTTTGACAGGAAATGGTCTTTCTACACGGACTCCCTCTTTGCTGTGGTGGCTGCAGTGGGAGCCGGTCAGGATAAGATTATCTTTCTAAAGCACAGTCTATGTAAAGGGTTACCTTCCTGGATACACTTTTGAGAAATAATTAGGAATATACACTTTCATGTAGTTTGGGGCAAGCAATATTCTTTAGTCTCTTTACATTATACACTAATGACTTTTCACTGTTTGAATTTTCTAGAATTATGTCCAGTTTCCAGACATTTGTTTATTTGCTTGCAAATGTGGAAATTTGTATTACTCAAAAAATCTTAAGGACAAGTAAGCTAAACTCAGAGGTCCCAAAGAGTTTGATTAAGCTAAGGCTCTGACACCCAGCTTAGTCCATGAAGCAGCATTTTCCCATCTACCTCCCATTTTTCCCTTTCCAGCCCCCCATCAAAGTAAACAAGTTAACTCTTAGTATGTTCCAGGCCCTGAATAGCTACAAAAAAGCAGAAAACATCCCTGCCTTCCACATGCTTCCAACTCAGGAACAAGTAATTAAAGTCAAAGACAGCTCTCTAACTGATAGCAAGTTGGGAATACTATGTGTTCCATGGCCGTTGTATTACAGACTGGGGAACAGGAGACCAGGGAGGGGTTATCTGGAACTGGAGGGCGTGGGCATGCCTTGAGGCAGCATCTAAACTGAGCAGAGAGGCTGGTAGACAGGAGGAAGGCATTCCTTAATGAACAGGGTGTGAGCAAAGACATGGAAAAGCAAAGGGCAGATTTACCAACAATGGAACTTTCGTGAGGTTGATGTGGTGGGGGGAGGATGGAGGAGAAGAGAGGGAGAAAAACAGTATAATCCTTCCAGGAGCTTGTAGGTATTATTTCAGTTAAGCTTTACAACAGTCTTCAACAACAACAGTCCTATTTTTACAGATCCAAAAACTGGCCCAGAGAGGTCAACAAACTCACCTGAGATTGCTTAACTGATAAACCGTGGAATATTCAAATCCAAGTCTGCCTAATCAAAGCTCCTCTTCTTTTTCTGCCATGCCATGTGTCCTTAAAGCCTAGCTAAGGATTCTGGACTTTATTCCACAGGCAGTAGGGGTGGAGGACACAGGGATTAGCGTCACCAGGTGTTTCTGCTCAGACAGGACCCACCACTTGTCCTGCACTGGGCAAATGAGAAGCTGTCCCTGTCCTCACAGAACGTGCAGCTCTGTGGTTAAGTGCAGCCACCTTCATTATAACGTGAGTACAATGACAGACGTTTGGGCAGAACGCTATGGAGATACCGTTCCAAGGAAGCCTTCCTAGAGCTGTCATCTGAGCTGTTTTGGAAGCGGGGTGAGGTTGAAGGAGGTGGGAAAGGATATTCTAGGTAGAGGAAAACAAGCAGTCTAAAAGCAAAGGTCTGAACCATCACGGGGCATGTATCTGGGGTAGCAAGAAGGGTGGAGAGTGAGGCAAGCACTTTAGGAATGCCTTGCCGAAGAGCTGGTCCATCCTGAAGCACCCAGAGGCTTGAATTGGAGCAACGTGGTTCCATGTGTGTGTTAGAAAAATTCAGAAGCCTTCAGAAAAGAGGGCTGGGGGCAGAGAAGCTGGTTGGCAAAGGTTTAGGTGAGAGAGAGAGCGCGAGCCAGGGTCTGCACAAAGACAGTAACAGCGGAAATGGGAAAAGTTTGAAAAACATTTAGGAGGACTTGGCGGCTACACATGGGGGATTATGGAGCCAGAGGACTCAAAGATGATCTCCAGGTTTCGATCCTGGGCAACTGGGTGACTAGGGAGGGGCTCTAGAGTAGAGCAGAGAAGGCTGTGAGGCAGACCCCGTGGGACAATGAGCAGGAACAGTGGATGGGGGCTTAGGGCTCCGGGAAGAATCCAGACTAGAGACAGAAGCAAAGAATAGTCAGCACACAGGCGGCTGTTAAGCCATAAGGACGGATCAGGTGACGCAGGACAGTACGCAGAATAAGGAGAGGGGCTAGAGGAGGAAAAGTCAGAAGCAAGAAGATGGAGAAAAAGGAGAGCAGGGCCAAGGAAGGGATCTGGGGACCAAGAGGCTGGCCTCATCAGGTGCAGGAGAGGTTAAGAAAACGAGGTCAGAAAAGCCTGCGCCTGCTCGGGCATCACACGTGGATGCCGAACACCCGGGAGACTGTGGGAGACGCGGCCCAGCAGGGGATGCAGAGACTGTTGACGCAGGCCTGGGTTCAGGAGGCTGAGCTGATCATGGAAAGAGGCGGGCAGTGGCTACAGGGAGACTTGGAGTCAGTTTTTAAAGACCAGGAGCGACTTAATCCAAAGGAAAAGAGCCAGGGACAAACGGCAGGTCTATGAGAGAAGACACGTGATGGCACAGGGACAGAGAGGAAGCCGAGGAGCAGCCTAGGCACAAGTGGAGGACACAGGCCCAGCTGGGAGCAGCCGAGCATGGCCAAGAGTGGCAGGAGCTCGTCAGTTATCTGAAGGGGAGATGGGCACAAAGGGACAGCTGGCATCTGGGGAGATGAATTCTGACCCCTCCAACTCTTTCTTGAAGTAGGAGGCCCTAGAATTGGACTACTGGAGGACGGTGGGGAGATGGACACAGGCAGATTTCTTCTGGACTTGGAGGAAAGTAATTCAGAAAATTTGCTGAGCAACATGGTGAAGGGGGGTTGAGTCAGGACACATTAAAAGAACTGTCCGGTGACATCAAACACCCTACCCTGGTGAGGCTGGGGACCATGAGTACGTCACAGCCAAAATCTACATACACGAGTGGTGTTTCCTACAGTAGATCCAGGATTTCAGCAGCATGCAAAAGTGGGCTGATCCAAGTGTGATGTTTTATCAGACATAAGTGGTACAAGAAGCTGAGGATGCTAGTCATCAACAGGGAGTTCTAGTCGGGGAAGGAAAGAGGGATTAGAAAATTGAAGGCCTGAGGCTGAAATAAAGGGATAGCAGGAAAGAAGGTGTGAAGAGTTGGAGAGCATAGGACATTGGGAGTTTAAGATTCCAGATGTGGGTTGGCTCCTAGGAAGGACAGGGGCCAGGACGTGGCAGCCAAAGAGGTGGGAACGAGGGTAACAGGAATCTCGCAGGGCAGAGCAGGAGCGGCTGCAGTGACTCAGACACCCTGGGGGGCCGGCATGACTTAGGTGACAGAGAGAAGAGTGAAGTCTAAGCACCAGGTCTGCAGTGAGCACGGAAAGGGAGAGGAGGTGGCAGAGGGACATGGTGGGATGATGGCTTCAGCCTCGAACCCTGTCAGGGTTAGCACCGTCGGGGGTATGACCTGGTGAGAAAGTCACCAGAAGATTCAGGCAGTTCATGATGGCATTCTTGCCACAGTGTCACTGCTGTGTAAGGAGAACAGTGCAAGGACACCCTCGATCCGTTCCTCAGGTGGTGACAGGACGGCATGGCTTAGAATGTAACAGTCCTTCCTCCCCACCCCATCCTGTAAATCCCCAAATTGAAATTGTCCATTAGTTTCGAGTAAGTCTGGTGGCAGCTCTGTACCAGGGCACAGAGAGAGGAGGCTGACGGCATGACACGTCCCACATTTAACTCACCATCACAGCTGACTCCTAGAAGCCCGAAGACTGGCGTTGTTAGGCTTGTTTTATAGCTGAGGAAATGGAGGCGATGGCTTTGCTGATGTCAGCTGGATGACAAAGGGCGCAGTAGGGACCTGGCCTGTTTTAATGACTCCAGTCTGCTCCTGCCACTGATCAGTTTTGCCTCCTCAGTACCTCTGCAGCCGATCTCCCTTCTGAGGCATGGGACTCCAAAATGATTTCCACCGTTAATCCCCAAGTTCAAGTGGGAACTTTGAACAGGGAATGGCTCGGAAAAAACGAAAAAGAAAAAACCAAAAAAAAGTCAGACATGACGCTGGTAACCATGTACTGAGAACAACTCAGCCATCTTGATACCAGTTCCAGTGGATTAATTTGTTAATTTGATACATTTCCAAGGCAGAAGTAGCTCTTTTATACTGAGTGCTATGGACTTACGGCAAATATTTATACATTTATCACCTAATTAGTTTTATCTCCCTTTTTACATAGAAATTAACATTACAAAAAAAAAAAGAAAGAAAAAGCAAGCTGGTTTGCAGCCAAACGCTGGCTTGGGCACTTTGTTCAACTCTCAAGTCCCAGGTGAAATGCCCCCTCCTCAGGAAGGCCTTTATCCAACTAGTCTGGGCTAGGCCCTCTGGTCCCTAGACTCTCCACTTCCTCCCAGGACTTCCCAGTGGACTGTAGACCAGTATCTGTGAGCTCTCTGGTCGCAGCCTGTCTCCTGCCTGGGCACATCGTCTTGTTCACGGCTGTACTCTCCAGCTCGCACAGCAGATGCTTGACAAGCGGGGATAAACAGCTGCGCTTACCTAATCCACCACATCACTCCTGTCACTCCTCTTTAATAGGAGAAAATCCCCATGAGAGGCTGTGTGTCTGTGGTGCTCTTCCCGCTCGGCAATGACCTGCCTCTCATGGGCATGACCCATAAGTCACTTTCTGCATTTCTCCGTTGCAACAGGGGTGCCATGAAACAAGCTACCATGGATTGAGACAGACTTTCTGCTTGTCCTATTCAAGTGAACATGCTTCACTCATTTGGATGGGGAGGTGGCAGGAGCAACTGCAGTACCAATAAGTTGATTTGGCCTCTACTTTGGAAGGGCATACTACTGGCAAAGTAGAGAAAAACGAGGTGAATTTATTACTAGAGATTTCAACTTTCCTTAGATTTACAGGCAATAATCAGATTCATTCACTGTTCTAAGCCACTTAGCCTCACAGAGTTTGATGGAGACCTTATAAAAGTGAAGGACACAGACTGTTGCATTAATGGTGTGAGCTTTATAAACTTGTGCAGTTAGGGCATTTCACCACAATTTAAGCTCCAAATCTAATAAATGCGTTGA